TGGAATTTCAGCTTTATTTATGTACACGGAGCTAGTGAGCTCACTTGTCTTTTATAGTTTTCTTTTCAATTTCGCGTGCTGTTCCTTTTAAAAATATATAAACCAGAACCTTCATATATTTTTGATTATATAGAATACCATTACTCTATTATGATAGTTACGCCATTTTAGATGCTGATTGCATCCTTTAACCATTGCATATGAGATGTATAATAATCTCAGAATGTAATGTACTTCTAATGTACTCTTAAGAATTGTCAGCAGTGTTAAAGATGGTGTTACATTGGGCTTATAATGAAGTAGTATTTTATTCAGTTGAAACACATGATTAACTGTCTTTTTTTCCCCTCACAGGCCACCTCCACCACAACCGAAAGTATCATCTCAGGGAAATTTAATTCCTGCTCGTCCTGCACCTGCACCTCCTTTATATAGTTCTCTCACTTGATTTTTTTTTCTTTTACCTTTACTTTTGCAGACATCTTCAGGGAACTGAGCTAATACATTTTTTTTTTTTTCCTGATATTTTCTTGAAAAGCCTTTCTTCCTGCTGCAACTATAAATGAAAACAAAATACTACAAAACAAACTTCGCTAACACAGAAAAACAGAAATTGAGTAATGGGAATTGAGAAATATAAGAAATGCAGTAAAAAGCCAGGGCATTTAGAATAACATTTCCATCTCCACCACTGAATAAGTCTTATTCAGTCATTCTGTGAGGTTAACCCACCAAACATGGATTATGTTATTTTAAACATGGTATTGTAATGATTCTTAAATTAAGTTTTGTCATTAAGTGCTTAAATGTAATTCTGAATTTTGACCTTAGTTGCCATTAATGTAGTTTCTGGTTGAACATGTGATTATCTAATACCTGTGAAAACTAATTAGCTGTCAGTAATATCTAATATTTTTCATCTTGCACGGACTAATAATCATCATATGTTAGAATCTTGTCTATCTCATTCATTACACAAATAAAGGAATATTCTGTCTTCAGAAGAATGCGCAAAACCCACAATTTATATATCATCATCTTGTTTTGAGAGTACAAAGTATACTAAAAATGTGTATGTGTGTATTCACACACAGTTATTGTCTTCCATTTTTACGATTATTCTGTGGATAAATGATTCCATGGATTCTAGAGATAATAGAGTCTATGGGTCTATCTATGGATAATGAATATTAGAAAAATTAATTTAATAATAGAATTTCTATTATGAATCATGTTAAAGCATGGCATTCTTTTACAATGGCATTATTTTAAATAAATTAAACTTTAAGGTACGGAGTATTTAATAGAACTAATCAGATATGCTGTTGAAACCTGTCTGTGACAAAGCAGGAGCTCTTATAATATTCAGTCAAAGTGAGATGTCATAAAACCACTTGAGAATTTCATGAGCACTTTAAGTTTAAAATCTGAAACTTCAAAGCTTGCTATTAATATGATTTAGAATGTTTACATTTACTAAGGTGTGCTGGATCATGTCTCTGTTGTAACTAATGTTTTCAAAGAAATTAGGCTGGAGAAAAGAAGTTAGAAAAGGTTTTCCTTAGATAAAGCAAAAAAACTAGTGAGGTGTGTAGGAGTTAACTATTCCAGCTGTGTAAAAATGAATTTTTACTTGGGAAAAAATGATATGGATGGTGAAATTTTAAACACTCAAAAAATTTTCATAACCTTTCATAATAAAATTTAATAATAGGTTTATTAACTGAATTTCATTAGTTTTTCAAAAATTTTTGTTTGTGTATATATACATATACAAATATAACATTTGCAGTAAATAAAAGACTTGAAATTCTGTTTTGTGTCGCCCAGTAACTTCCTAAATATCCAGCTTTTTATAACCTTATTAATTAAAACATCATACTAGTTCTAGATAAAACTACTAGTCAAACTTTTAGATACTATCTCACTAATTTTCAGACTTCTGCCAAATTGTGCACAGTGCCTTTTTTGTTATTAAAGGAAAACAGATTAGTTTTGAAGAAGACAGATGTTTAAGTTCTTTGAAGATGATACATTATTTTAACAATCTGGTATATACTAAAAATTACATATAGGATGTGGGTGGACAAATACTCAGGCCAGGCAGTCCATAAAAAAGACAATGAGATATAAGAAATACAGGGGAAATTTGTACTTCAGTGTATGCATTGTCTAGAGTTTAGACAGAGAGCTAGAAGAGAACTCACCTTCCCTGGCTATAGGATTCTATAGGAACTATTTTACAATAGTAAAATAGTTTTATCACTGTAGATAACTGATAGGAATGCAAAGTGATTCTTGTCCATAGATATGAAAATTCTGCCCTGCAGAGGTTCAGCTGACATCCCTCCCTGTTTTCCTCCAGTGACACATTTATTTGAATATTCCTGATCTTTGGCTTCTCCTTTGAACTGGCTTTAATACCTCACCACTTTACTCATTAATGAAGTAAACACAGTCTTTAATTTATGTTCCTTTTTTAAAAAAAAAAGTGTAAACAATCCCAAGTGAAGATTCTTCATTTTATTTAAATCCCTGAATGAATTCATATAAGACTTAAATGTTTGTGTCTTTCTCTCATATAGTCTTAATGTTTGCAACTGTAATTTGAATCATTGAAATCTTGGTTATATTTTAACTATATAACTGAAAACCTTTCTCAGAATTAGATAAATCCTTGGATTTTTGAGTATTTAGAAAGTTTTTCTAAAAGACTTTGATCAGTCTGAACTTCCTTTACTTTTGTATATATGTTTTCCATGCTTTTCAGCTAGGTTTTCCTTGATTTATTCTGGATTGCTGTTAAAAATTGTTAAGTTTCTTGGCCATAGATGTCACTCCAAAATTTGCAAATACTAAGGGGCTTCTTTGCCGCCTGCTAAGGACATTTTATTAATTAGATCAATTATCTGTGACTTTGATATCACTGTTTGATTGTATGTTCACAAAATTACCTTGCTCAGGATTTTGCATTTTCCCTTCTCTCAAGCAGATGCCTGGGTCTCTAACTATATAGTTAAGCACAGCCCAGGTTTTCTAAGCACAAACCATATTATATTACATTCCATAAATGTTTACTGAAACTCTACGATCTTGCAGCCATCAATAAGCACTGTGATACATACGTTCTGGATCATACATCGAACTCCTGTTCTGGAGAGAACTATATACATAAGAATATTATAAAGTCTGCTCTATTAAAGATTTAAACAGGAAAGGTTGAAGAAGAGAAACAATAAATAAACCAGAATTTCATTCAAAATACTTACCACTAGTTTACAGGTCTAAGTACTTACTGTAGTTGTTTTTCTAATACTATGAAGAAAGATGAAACCAGCTTTTGAGTCAACTACTGCCTAGAAACAGTGTTAGTCTAGCATTGGCTGTTCTGTTGGGATACAAGCTGGGTGTAGATTTTTGCTGCCTTGTTTTTGCTCATGCTAATCCTTTTTAGGTTTAGATGGTCCTGTTGAATTTTATGCATCAGTAAAATCGCATCAAAACTGTTTTAGAGCTAGTGATTCCCTAAAAGTGAGCTTGTCTGTGTTCCCACCCAGCCTTTCAGTTTCTGTGTCTGCCTTTCTGTTAATATAAGCATTATCTATTAATTCATTCTTTGGTATTTCAAAAGAATTAAAAGTGCATATACTGGAGACTGGAGATGAGGGAGGAGGCATCACAGTCCCAGGGAATAAGGCAATGTTTATTAGGAAAGACCAGAAGTCATAGTGGCCAAAGGATTGGGGTAGCAGAAAATAGGTGTCAGTTTGGGCTTGGAATTTAGAAAATTTTTCTGCTGGGACATACGTACTGGAACTCTGGGTGAGAATCTTTCTTCATCTCATTCACTATGTGAAAAAGTATTCGCAGTACTGAGAAGGGGTTGAACAAGAGAATGGTATCCCGTGAGTTCTAGCCAAGGGCTTGTGAAGAACCAGATTGATTGGAGGAAAAGTAGACACAGGTATGGGCGAAAAAAAACCGTGGCCGACTCTTCAAAGATAAGAATATCACGTTCCCCTTTTTGGAATCTTTTTCACACCTCTGGCCTTTTTTTTTTTTTTTTTTTTTAAATTTTAGAAACCCGGCTTTAGTAAATAATGAGTGTGTGCGTGCACATAGTTTTAAATTCAGAAAGTATTGAACGATCGTCTTTTTAAACATCTGAAGCGTGTGCTACAGAACAGACTACAATCAATGCGTTAGTTCTTCCAGGTTGGTGGGGGACCGCGACTGCAACGGCAGGAGCGGCGGGATAAACCCGAGTAAGGCGCGGGCTCTCGGTCGGGCCCGAGGGGTTTAGGCTGGAGGCGAGGTGGGCGCTCCCTGCCGGCGACGAGCATCCGCGGCGCTGCGTACCCAGCGCGCCCGTGGGCGCAGCGACCTCGCGAGACCTCCGCCCCACCAGCGCGCGCGGGTGCGAGGCGGCCGCGGCGTCTTCCGAGCGCCTCCAACTGTCGCCGGCTCGGTCGACTCCCGGAGCCCAGGAGCCACGCCATGCTCCGCCTACTGCTGCTGCTGGCTGGGCTCGGTGGCTTGCTGGCTTCAGGAGCCGGTAAGGCTGGGGAGACTTTGTTACACGGAGTCTGTAAGACGAAGGTTTTTCTCTTTCTCCTCTCAAGAAGTATCTGCTTCCGTCACATGGTGGCCCAACTCCATTGATGTCCCCGCGGTAGCCTGGGAACCCGGCTTTTTGGGGGGCTCTGTAGGGATAGAGAAGGGACTCCCCAGAGGGGAAGAGAACCTTAATGCGCTCAAGGACAAATCTCTTTTTGGAATCTGGGGTGGGGGTGGCCTTTCTTGTAGGTCTTTCCTGTACCTCACAAAACTGCCCGAACGTTTCTTGCACCAGAAGCACCCCAGAGCCTTCTTGAACTCCACTCAAAATCCAGACGGAGACGGAAACAAAAGCAGTACTGTCCTCACATACCATTTGTTCCGACGTAACGTGTCTGGCATACCTGCGAGAATAATTTGTCCTTCGGTTAAGGGGGAAAAAAATGCAGCGTCTCCTGTGCTGTGACAAAGGTACATTATGGCAGGATACAAAGAACCGTATAAAGAAGCCTAAAAATTTTAAAATATATTAGGGGTGGTTTAGATGCAAGCAAACGTTTTAGATATGTTCTTATTTTTCTTCCCTTTTATACACTGTTCTGATTCTTGCCCTCCTGTGTCAGTGTCAGCGCATGGGGTGTCTTTTTTCCACCATCTGCCCAGCGTCCCCTTGTTTGGAGGTACCACAGTTTATTTAACCAGTTCTTTATTAATGGACTTTTGGATTGTTACGAGTCTTTCCGCTATTACATGCTGTATTACTGACCTTGAGCTGCCATAACAAAATACCCTAGACCGGGTGGCTTAAAGAACAGTTCTTCACGGTTCTGAAGATAGGAAGTCAGCCCAGGATGCTATCATCGTTGGGGTCTGGTGAGGTCTTTCCTCCTGGTTAATAGACCATTGCTTTCTTGCTGTGTACTAAGATGGCCACTTTGTGGGGCGGGGGGAGAGCAAACTCTCTCTTCTAACAAGGGCACTAATCCCATCCTGAGAGATCCACCTTCATGGCCACCCCTAGACCTAAATACCTTCCAAAGGTCCCATTTCTAAATAACATCACATTAGGGTCAGGACTTCAGCATGAAATTCTGGGGGGGACACATATCTTCACCATAACACACAGTATTTTAATGCAGTGGTTTGCAAACAATTTTTCTTTACCAATTATAGAAATTCTCAAAGAGCTTTTGCTTACATTTTGTTTATATTGGTTAATATTCATAATTTTGGAAATTAATATAGAAATTTAAGAATTTTTATTAATTCACTTAAAAATTGACAGTAACAGGGGCGCCTGGGTGGCTCAGTGGGCTAAGGCCTCTGCCTTCGGCTTGGGTCATGATCTTGGGGTCCTGGGATCGGGCCTATGTCGGGCTCTCTGCTCAGTGGGGAGCCTGCTTCCTCCTCTCTCTCTCTGCCTGCTTCTCTGCCTGCTTGTGATCCATGTCTGTCAAATAAATAAATAAAAATCTTTAAAAAAATGACAGTAACAGATCTATTATATGTAACGTAAGTTACACATGTTAAAAATAACTGTCTTCTGAAACGAATTTAGAACACTGGCATGATTTTAGATTTTTGCATCTCTTTAATGTCTGGCTTAATAGATGATAGCTAGATTCTCATATCTATTTCTACATTGAATCTGTTGCTGTGTTTTTATTTGAAGTATATGAAGAAAATCCAGCTTATATAGTTGGAAAGGGGAAGAGTATTTTAATAGCCTTTTCAGATAATTACCAGTATCCTTTGGATACTACATCAATATTTGACAAATGGCAAAAGTTAGTTGCAATATGGTGTCTAAAAAATATCATTGAACTTTTCAGAATATGTTCTATTAAGAATTCATGGGATCTTGAACTCTGGATATTTTGCTCATGAGTTTTTTTTTTTTTTAATGCAGTATCTTTGTTTTTTAATTTTTAATTTAAAATTATAGTAAAATGCACATAACAAAATTTATCATCCTAACAGTTTTAAAAAAATGAATAAACTTGTTTTTTTTAGAATGTTATAGGTTCATAGCAAAATTAAGAGGAAAATATAGAGACTTCCCATACATGCTATCCTTATACATACACTCTCTCTGCTATTGACATCCCATGCATTTGTTACATTTGGTATTTTGTTAAAATCGATGATCTCACAGTGACACATTATTATCACCCAGAGTCCATAGTTTACCTTAGGATTCACTCTGCCTGTGTACATTCTTCGAGTCTGACAAATGTATCATGACATGTATCCACTATTGTGGTATATAGAGTTGTTGCAGTGTCCTAAAAATCCTGTGCTCAACCTGTTTATCCTTCCCTCTTTCTTAACTCCCAACAACACTGACTTTTTTTCTCTCTCTGTAGTTTTGCTTTTTCCAGAATGTCATATAGTTGGAATCATTCAGATTGTTTTTTTTTTTTTTTCTTCACTTAGAAATATACATTTAAGGTTCCTCTGTGTCTTTTCATGGCTTGATATCTTACTTCTTTTTAGGACTGAGTATCATTTCATTAGCTGGATGTACCAATTTATCCATTCACCTACTGAAGGATATCTGAATTGCTTGCAAGTTTTGGCAGTTACGGATAAAGCTGTTAGAGACATCTATGGGCAGGTTTTTGGTTTGGACAAAGTTTTCAACTCCTTTGAGTAAAAACCGAGGGGTAGGATTGTTGAGTATGTAAGAGTATGTTTAGTTTTGTGAGAAACTATATTGTAAGAGTATGTTTAGTTTCGTAAGGAACTGCCAAGCTATCTTCCACAGTGGTTATATGATTTTGCACTCCCACCAATGAAGGAGGGTTCCTGTTGCCTCCCATCTTTTCCAGCATTAGGTGTAGTCAGTGTTATGGATTTGGGTTATTTTAATGGATATGTAATGGTACCTCATTTTAATTTGGAATTATCTAATGACATATGATATAAAGCATCTTTTCATCTTATATGCCATCTCTCTCTCTCTCTCTCTCTTTTTTTTTTGGTGAGTTGTCTGTTCGGGCATTTTGCCCATTTTTAAATTGGGTTCTTCATTTTCTTATTGTTGAGTTTTAGGAGTTCTGTGTATAGGGGCGCCTGGGTGGCTCAGAGGGTTAAAGCCTCGGCCTTCAGCTCAGGTCATGGTCTCGGGGTCCTGGGATCAAGCCCCACATTGGGCTGTCTGCTCAGCAGGGAGCCTGCTTCCCCCTGCCTCTCTGCCTACTTGTGATTGCTCTCTGTGTCTTAAATAAATAAAAATCTTAAAAAAAAAGTTCTGTGTATATTCTGAATAACAGTTTTTTTTTAAAGATTTATTTATTTATTTATCTGATAGAGATCACAAGTAGGCGGAGAGGCAGGCAGAGAGAGAGGAGGAAGCAGGCTCCCTGCTGAGCAGAGAGCCTGATGTGGAGCTTGATCCCAGGACCCTGGGATCATGACCCGAGCCGAAGGCAGAGGCTTTAACCCACTGAGTCACCTAGGCACCCTTGAATGAACAGTTTTTAAATCAGATATGCCTTTTGCAAATATTTTCTCCTAGTCTGTGGTCTGCAACTTGTCATCTTATTTTCTTGACATTGTCTTTTGCAGAGTGGAAGTTTTTCATTTTATTTTTTAAAAAATATTTTATTTATTTATTTGACAGAGAGAGATCACAAGTAGGCAAAGAGGCAGGCGGGGGGTGGGAGAAGCAGGCTCCCCGATGAGCAGAGACCGGATGCGGGGCTCAATCCCAGGACCCTGAGATCACGATCTGAGCTGAAGGCAGAGGCTTAGCCCACTGAGCCACTCAGGCACCCCAGAAGTTTTTCATTTTAATGTGGTATAGCTTATCATTTGTTTCTTCATGCATTATGGGTGTTTTATCTAAAAAATTATTGCCATACATAATCATAATTTGCATTTTATATTTAAGTCTCTGATCCATTTGAGGTTGATTTTAATGAAGTGTGTAAAGTCTGTGACTTTTTTTGCATGTGGAAATTCACTTGTCCTAACACCGTTTATTGAAAAGGCTATCTGCTCTATTGTATGGCCTTTGCTCTTTTATCAAAGATCAGTTGACTATATATATATATTTTTTTTAAAGATTTTATTCATTTGTTAGAGAGAGAGCGTGCAAGCACAGGCAGACAGAGTGGCAGGCAGAGGCAGAGGGAGAAGCAGGCTCCCTGCCGAGCAAGGAGCCCGATGCGGAACTCGATCCCAGGACGCTGGGATCATGACCTGAGCCAAGGGCAGCCGCCCAACCAACTGAGCCATCCAGGCGTCCCTCAGTTGATTATATTTATGTAGGCTTTTTTTTCTGGGCTCTTTATCCTGTTTGATTGATCTATTTATTTATTCTTTCACCAGTACCACATTTTCTTGACTACTGTAGCTTTATAGCAAGTCATTTAATTAGATTATGGCAGTCTTCATCTTTATTCTTCTCCTTCAGTGTTGAATTTGCTATTCTGGGTCTTTTGCCTCTCCATATAAACTTTAGAATAAATGAGGTAATGGGATTTTGGTTAAGATTGTAATGAATCTATAGAGTCAAGTTGAGAAGAACTGGCATTTTGACAGAATTGAGTTGTACTCTCCATGAACATGGACTAATCTAAGTCATTTTTTTTGGATGCTCATATAAATGACATTGTATTTTAAGTTTCAAATTCTACTTATTCATTGCTGATGTGTAAGAAAGTGATTGATTTTTACTTATTAGTCTGGTTTCCTGCGAACTTGCTATCTTAACTATTTTTAAATGTATACAGGTCAGTAGTTAAGTACATCCACATTATTGTGTAACTTATCTCTAGGGCCTTTTTATCTTGCAAAATGGGAGTGCTATACCCATTATACAACTTACAAATAGTGATAAAATATACATAACATAAAATTTACCATTTTAACTATTTTTTTTACTGATTTTTATAGTTTATTGCTTTTTAATTAGAAATTCATTGACGAAAGTATTTATATTCAGTTTCCCCTTTATTTTTGTAGATTTTTTCTAGCTTTATCTGTGAGTCTTATATTTCCTTATGTTTTTGTGTTATTAATTATTATCCTTTGTTTCAGCATGAAGAGCTCTCTTTAACATTTCTTGTGAGACTGGTCTAGTAATGATGAACTCCTTTAGCTTTTGTATGTCTAGTCTGCTGTTGAGCGCCTCTACTGAAATTTTCAGTTAACTTATTGTATTTTTCATATATATGCTTTCTGTTTGGGACTCATTTTAACCATTCTTCAGTACGGTGTAATGGCATAAAGTACTTTCACATTGTTGTGTAGCTGTCACCACTATCCATCTCTAGAACTTTTTTCATCTTTCCGAGCTGAAACTCAGTACCCATTTTACATTAAATCCTCATTTCCCTCTCCCCCAGCTCATAGAAACCACCATTCTACTTTATGTCTCTGTGGAGTATAGTTAAATTATAGGCGGTAACTGGAATTGTGGAGTATTTTTCTTCTTGTGACTGGTTTATTTCACTTAGCGTGTCTCCCTCAGTAGTCATCTATGTTGTAGCAGGTGTCACAATTTTTAAGGCTGAGTAATATTCTCTTGTGTGGAATATAAATGGATAAATATATATTTCATTTTGTTTATCCATTCATCTGTAGTTGGATATTTGGCTTGCATCTTCTTTTGGGATATTGTGAATAATGCTGCCATGAGCATATATGGACATGTACTTGTTTGAGTCCCTGTTTTCAATTTTTTTGCATAAATATTCAGAAGAGGAGTTGCTGAATCATATGGTAGTTCTATTTTTAATTTTTTTGAGGAACTGTCACACTGTTTTTCATAGTGGCTATACAATTTACATTCCTACCAGCAGAGTACAGAGGTTCCAAATTTACACATTCTTTCCAACACATGTTATTTTTATTTTACTTTTTTTATGATTATAGTCTTCCTAGTGGATATATCATGTTATCTCTTTTTGGCTATGATTTGCATTCTCCCAATGATTAGTGATATTGAGCATCTTTTCATGTGCTTATTGACCATTTGTGTGTATCTTTGGAGAAATGAGTGTTCCGTCTGTTTTTAAAATTGGTTGTTCTTTTTATTGTCAAGCTGTGAGAGTTCTTTTTATATTCTGGACACTAGACCTATTTCAGAGAAATGATTTGCAAGTATCTTTTCTCATTCAGTAGGCTGTCTTTATTTTCTTGGGAGTGTTCTTTGATTCACAAAAGTTTGTAATTTTGATGAAATCTAATATATGTATTTTTTTCTTATATTGCCTGTGTTTTTGGTGTCATATCTAAGAATCCATTGCCAAATCTAGAATCATAAGGATTTATTCTGGTCTTTTATTCTAATAATTTTATTGTTTTATCTGTTAAATTTAAGTTGCTGATCCATTTTAAGTTAATTTTTTATATGATGTGAAGTAGAGTTCCAGCTTCATTCATTTGCATTCATAATGGTTTCTGTTTATTACTAAAATGCTTTTGACCCATTGAAGTCTGTTTGTGCTAATATTAACATAGCTACATCAACTTTCCTTCGGCTAACATTTGCTGTAAATACATATTTTCCCTCCTTTTTTCGTGGCGCATTCCTTAATGCTCACTGAGTATCCACCTTTTGCCTACATTTCTCGGCCTTTTCCCAAACTATCTCTTGCTCATGAGGTTAAGAAGAAATGATGTGTGCAATTTTTGGATCAAGGCAATTAAGAGTTGGTCTCCTTCCTCCATCTCTCTTTTCTGATGCCACAGTCATCTTTGAAGCCATGAGCTGAGTTTATGGTGTTACCAGTTGGAGGGAACCTGGATCTTTGAGTCACTACTTCAGTGAGAGCTCCTGGTGACCCTCATCAGAATTTACATGAAAAACAAACTTTTATTGTGTTAAGTCACCAAGACTTTAATATTTTCTTTATTATCATTCCATAACCTGGTCAGCCTAAATTGACTTATAGAGAAATTGGAAATTTTAAGTGGTGTGTTGTCATAACAAACTTAAAGTAGACGTCCTTGATTGACCAGCTGGTCAGTGAATAGTGGGTAATGGATAGTAGATGACAAAAATTGAAACCATAAGAGACTCTTAATCTCAGGAAACAAACTGAGGGTTGCTGGAGGGGAGGAGCGTGGGAGGGATGGGGTGGCTGGGTGGTGGACATTGGGGATGGTATGTGCTATGGGGAGTGCTGTGAATTGTGTAAGACTGATGAATCACAGACCTGTACCCCTGAAACAAATAATACATTATATGTTAATAAAAAAATTGAAACCAACTGGAAGTTACAAAACATTTCATAGTTTTATTTCATAAAGTTATAGTAAACTGTATAATTGATTGCATTCTACAGAAGTTAGATAACAGAATGTTATCTTTCTGCAGTGGAGGTCAGTTTAATTACCCAGGTTTGGCAAAGTGTTAAGAGAAGGATATAATCTCAGCAAACAATTGGCCAGTTTGCAAAAAGAAATAATAGGGAATAAATCCAAAAATTAGGGGCCTTTCAGGATTTTAAAAGGTGACTGATTCCAGATTCCAAATAGTTAACAAATGGAATTTAAAAAAGTTTGAATACCAATGTGTCAGTAAAACTCAATTAGATAAAGTTACTCAGGGCAGAGCTCTAATTAAAGGTATGGACATACATTTTTCTAGATAGACTCAAAGTTGCCATTA